TATATATATATATGAGCAATATCACTCGCGTACGAGAGCGATACCGGCTCTATATCAGCATGGCTGTGATTAGGCCAGAGCATCACAGCCGCTGATATAGTGCCGGTATCGCTCTCGTACTCCAGTGATATTGCATTTATACAACAGTTCGACGGAACGTGTGTAATTAAACAAGAAACAACGGAGTGCCTAGTAAAACCCTCTTTTGTGCGGAACTAATTCCTTCCGCCACGGATTCAAAGCTCAAGTTGACAGTTAAACATACGTCACTTTTATAATTTGTATCAAGGGCATGTGCTGCTTCAGTTAGGTTATTAGTGAGAAATAATGAGGTTATAAGAGAGAAACAATGCGGCAAGTCGTGCATCCAAATGAGAGAGAGAGAGAGACCGCGAAGGTAGACGTTTCTTCTTATGTTAACTAAATATTAACAAATTTCCCTTTGTCCTTTGATATACAGAGATCACATCAGCTAGTTATTAGGTTGTTTTGGCTGTTATTTCTATAAGAACTGCCGCTGCTGAACGTGACGCGGATTTTACACGCATCATATTTTCTCTCAACTCTTTTTACCTTTTCTGACCCACTTCAGGTCTCTATTAATGAGCTGACGAGTTAAATCGGGTGTGTTATGGCGCTTTTCCATTGCATGGTACGGCTCGGTATGGTTCACTTTTGGGGGGTTTTGAACTGGGTCTGGTACCTGGTACTTTTTTAGTACCACCTCGGTTGAGGTTCCAAGCGAACCGTTCCGTTACCAAAACGTGACGTGTAAACTCTGCTGATCACGGATTGGCCGGAGAGAATTGTCCCTACCTGCATCACTGAACTTGTGACACAAACACAACAGAACTGCTAGATTTAAATCAGCACAGCCAGCGAAGGATCGAACGCAACTGTTTTGAACTAGCGCACCTTTTTTAACAAACAAAAAGTGGTTGTTTCATTGTCTGTTGAGGAAGTACAGACGTTCCTCTCGTTAATAGCAGAGGAGCAGATCCAGCAAGAGCTTGATAGGGCGACGCGGAATGTAAACGGTTTTCAGAAGTTGCTGCAGTAGAGGCGGCGCAACTATAATGACATGTGAATAATCCCGGCCACTCTAAAGCGATACTAAACTGCAGTGGAAACGCAAACCGAGCCGTGCCGTGCCGAGCCGAGCCGAGTCGTACCACTCAGTGGAAAAGCGCCATTAGTTTTGAAAACCATTTCAGAGACATTTTCTTAAATGTGACTCATATAAAATATATTACATGCATGCACCGTTTTAAGGCAGCTTTAATCGCCTTTTTGGTAACGTCATGACTTAACTAACCACGACGTTGCATGCACGTAGTTTATTTCGCGCTTTGATATGAAAGGATACAGGCTACAGCGCGCACCGGCGCCTTTGTGCGTGCAATTGAAGAGCCGGTTTTTGTTTTTTTTTTGCTGCTGCTGCTGAAGTGAAGTGGAGCGTGCGTCTGAAACGTCTCCCATTCTCAGTCGTTCTACGACTGAATAAATGGACTCTTGGTCAAGAGAAAAACTGACAGACGCAGCAGTTGTGAGTGGGGTTGCCAACCTAAGCCCCGCCCCTGCATTAATTGCAATAAATATTTTTAATGCGTTAAACTGAAATTTTTTTTACACTACTGATATATTCACTGAACAAAATTATAAACGCAACACTTTTGTTTTTGCCCCCATTTTTCATGAGCTGAACTCAAAGATCTAAGACTTTTTCTATGTACACAAAAGGCCTATTTCTCTCAAATATGGTTCACAAATCTGTCTAAATCTGTGTTAGTGAGCACTTCTCCTTTGCCGAGATAATCCATCCACCTCACAGGTGTGGCATATCAAGATGCTGATTAGACAGCATGATTATTGCACAGGTGTGCCTTAGGCTGGCCACAATAAAAGGCCACTCTAAAATGTGCAGTTTTATCACACAGCACAATGCCACAGATGTCGCAAGTTTTGAGGGAGCGTGCAGTTGGCATGCTGACTGCAGGAATGTCCACCAGAGCTGTTGTCCGTGAATTGAATGTTCATTTCTCTACCATAAGCCGTCTCCAAAGGCGTTTCAGAGAATTTGGCAGTACATACAACCGGCCTAAAAGTTTCATGACCCTTTAATAGACAGACCACTGAAGGGCACTTCCCATCCAATATATCGCAATAAGAATTGTGCTTTGGTAATTTTAATATGAAACAAAGTCTCAGATTCCAAATTATGTCCATTGTATTGCAGTATTCAAACAATAAATGCCGTTTTGGTGCCGTTTAATGTGAAGTGACAGATCGCTCAGCGCCTCAGTTCAACAGACACGGCAGCGCGTAGCGCACGTGAACTGATCATCTCCTCCACATTAATACCAATTTTTAATCACAAAAAAAGCATGACTAAACATCCGAAGGTAAGTTAAAAGAAAGAGTACAACTTTACAATCCGTATCCTGTCTCATGCAATCGCTCAATCAGTGTTTCAGCTGCGCAACGTCTTGTAAACAATGTCACGTAACGTCACATTTACCTCAGAAAGACATATTTGGTGAACTAAACTCATTAGTCTCATTAGAAAAAAAACTGTAGCGAGGGGCATTTTGCTAAATACTGTATATGCACCATATAACATATTCATTATAGTAAGATGTACTGTTCTAAAATGTTTAATTTGTTTGAATAAATCCATCAAGTTTTTATGACAGCCCACCATTATGTTTATATTTCAAAAAACGAATTGAAGTAGAAATATTATGTAATTGTAACTTAATTATTTAAAAAACAAATCAGTCCATTTTTACCTTCAATATTATAGTAATGTGTACCAACTGACTCTCATGTAGCCTATATTTTACAGCATTAGTTGAGATTTTTTTCCTTGAAAATTTGGCATGTACTGTACCTGATATGTATCCAAAATAATCGATATTGAATCGAATCAAATCGCAAGCTTGTGAATGAGAATCGAATCGAATCATGAAATTTGTGTCAAAACCCAGTCCTATAATTTATTACAGCGACATTTTGTTTTCTTTTGACTTTAAACACATTAAATATTACATATATGTATGTAATATAATGTGCATTTCTATTACAGGTTTAAGTCTTAAATGAATTCAGGTGTGAAAAACTTGTTGCATCTTTCCCAATAAGACTCATGGCTGTATTAGATCAAAAGGGTGTTTCTACTAAATACTGAGCAAAGGGTCTGAATACTTAGGACCATGTGTTATTTCAGTTTTTCTTTTTTAATAAATCTGCATAAATGTCAACAATTCTGTGTTTTTCTGTCAATATGGGGTGCTGTGTGTACATTAATGAGGAAAAAAAATTAACTTAAATGATTTTAGCAAATGGCTGCAATATAACAAAGAGTGAAAAATTTAAGGGGGTCTGAATACTTTCCGTACCCACTGTATATGATTTATTTTCACTTTAAGTCCACTCTCTATTGAAATATTTACCAGGTCATCAAAAATGACTGGAAAAGTCATGGAAAATAACTTATAAATAACCACTAAGAGATGTTGTTTTCATCTGACATGAGTTCATGGGTAAATCTCATAAAACCTGTCAAGAACATGTCCATATTGTATTTTACCCCATATTGTATTTTAAAATGTATAATGGTTTCACATAGCGTATCGCATAAGAATTCTTCTTTTAAAAACCTCAACATTTACATTTACATTTTTGTTGTTTTTATTATATGTATGTGTATGTATATAT